AGTATCACGTGCATCCATTCTTTGTTCTTTGGGTTCTAGGTTTATTGCTATGCAGTTAGATTTTGTGACTAAATAGTAGTGGAGCAAGGAGTCGCAAAATCAGGGTTATTTCAGTGGATGTCTATAGAATAGGAAGTGCATAAGATACTCTCAGCCTCTGTAGCTGAGGACAAGCAGGTGATTCTCTTGGATTCTAGATATTCTGCATTTACGGCAGTGTGAGCAGGAGGGTGGCTTCCCGTTTCCTAAGGCAGCCCATCTTCCTGCTCTCTTTCTTCCTCTGTGTTCCCATTTGCATGGGATTCTATGCCAGGCGATGTGAGAGGCACTGTCGTTGGATGATAAATGATGTTCAATGTGACCTCTGCATTGAAGGAGCCTAACTCTGCAGTGGCAGCAGAGGACCAGAGCTTTAGGAAAGTTTCATCCTTTGAGAAACACCTGTCCCCCAGGGCATGGGGAATGGCCCAGCCATAGAGGGCTCTGTGAGGTCAGGTAGCCCAGACGGTCCCCGCAGGCAGGGTAAAGGGCACTGCTGATGGAGGTCTTCCTCCAGAGGACAGAGACAACGGGGCCCCTGCTCCCCAGTCCTCTGCCTCAGTGTGGGCTCTTGAAGCTCCTTTTCTATGACCCTCCACCTGCTTGAGCAAATCCAACTGCACCTCAAAGCCCAGCACAGTGCTGCCTCCCCCAGGAAGCCTTCTCAGTCTTCCCAGGTGAAAGCATTGCTGAGACCTCTGAGTTTTTAAGGTACTTTATCTGCACTTCTCTTACACACTAAACGGTTTCCACTTCCTGTAAACAGTTTGCCCTGGTCTTTCTTCTCCCGCTGTCAGGTAATCAGAGTCGGGTCCTTACCGCGTCTTACTCATTGCTGCATCACTGTTGCCTATCGGAGTGCTGCTTGTTCCAGTGCAAGTAATCAACAAATAACTGTTGAATGCAGACATCACTGTGTGTCCACAAGAGGATCCCAAAGGCTCAGAAAAGGTAAGAAACACAAAACAACCCCACAACAAACCCAACTCAACATGTGCTTGGGGGCATATAATTTGGAGGCAGCAAAAATTCACTTTCTACCTTACCATCCTGAAGAAAAGTAAGTTTTCAGATGCCTAATAATAATAATAATAATAATAATAAGGTAAGTGAAATTTAAATACTGTGTATCCTGGTTGGGCATGGTGGTTCATACCTGTAATCCCATCACTTTGCGAGGCTGAGGTGGGCAGATCACTTGAGGCCAGGAGTTCAAGACCATCCTGGCCAACACGGTGAAACCTCATTTCTACTAAAAATACAAAATTAGCCAGGTGTGGTGGCACGTGCCTGTAATCCCAGCTACTTGGGATGCTGAGGCAAAAGAATAACTTGAACGAAGGAGGTGGAGGTTGCAGTGAGCTGAGATTGTGCCTCTGCTCTCCAGCCTGGGCAAAGAAAACAAAAAAAAAATACTAGATATTCTGAGATTTTGGAAACTTGCTGTTGATTTGGGTCCCTATATGTAATCAAATTCAATTTTGTATATAGTACTTTTAGGACATAACTTATAGAATGTTCTGGAATGCCTCCAGGGACAGAAAATCAGGACCTACTACCACAGGGCTGCAGCACTCATGCCCTTTAATTGTAAGGACCTTCATTCTTGGTTTGAGAAAGCATTTGCCTCCCTATAGCTCCCACCACCTATTTTCCAATGGCTAACGTGGGATAACCTTGGGCTCTGTCTGCTGCTGAGGGACTCCCTGTGGACCACACGTGGGTCACAGCTGTGGAGGATCAGAAAGAGATGAAGTGTCAGGGATGGGACACAAGCTGGTCTGAAACAGCAGGAGAAAGGAGGACTTGCGAATCCAGCGCAGAAGCAGGCAGTGGAGGGGAGGCTTCCCGTAAGGGAACATTTTGACCTGACACCTTCAGACCACGGGGTGGAAAGCCACAGCATTCAGCGCCAGATGGCTCTGACTCCCAGTCCTGAGCCATTGCTATTGTTCTGTGATTTGCGGAAAGATATTAATCTCTCAGAGCCCCAGTTTGTCTTTAGAGTGCTTACAATACTGCCCACCTGGTCCACTGGGACGAGCATTAATGAGGACTGCCATGCATTTGGCATAGGACCTGACGTCTCATGTATGTTCAGTGAGAACTGCTCTAGATACTCTTTATTTTTTTGAGACAGGGTCTTGTTCTGGGGTGATGGCGTGATCTTGGCTCACCGCAGCCTCTACCTCCAGGGCTCAGGTGATCCTCCCAACTTAGCCTCCTGAGTAGCTGAGACTACAGGCATGTGCCTACCACACCAGGATAATTTAAAATTTTAAATTATTATTACTATTGTTTCGTAGAGACATGTTGCATTGTATTGTCCAGGCTGGTGTAAAACTCCTGGGCTCAAGCAATCCTCCTGCCTCAGCCTCCCAAAGTGCTGAGATTATAGGGGTGAGCCACTGTGCCCAGCTGAGGATTCTGGTTTTTTTTTTTTTAAGATATCTTTTCAAAAATGATAATCCTTGAAAAAACTAAATTGAAAGTACACGCTTACCATGAAAAATGGTGACAGGGGAGGTAGTCTCTGTGTTATAAACACAGCGTTGGCTAATGTCTCGAAGTCCTACGCCTTCCAAAGAAGACCACAACTTTCTGAATGTGTCCTGAATGGGATAAACTCAAATGATAATACAATACAATTTTATAGGCATTTTATGGGCTAAGCCCTGACAAACATGACCTCTTTCTGAATTTTTTCCTCCCCTTCCTCCTCTTCAAAGGTGTTCTTTTGAGGAACCTCATGATGTAGAACAAACACATCTTGATTGAGCGATGCTCACTTCTCACCATCTGCCCTGATCCTGGAAGGAAGGACCCCCAGCCCTAGGCTGCCCCTGTCAGCAGACAAAACCAGAGCTGGCAATTTAACTCGAGTTTGGCATCAACTTAGGCAATGTAGGTTTTCTGTTTTGGCTTTGTGCTAAAGATGATAAATCTCTTTTATAATGAAGACAGTTTTGCCAAGTTGAGGCATATACCAACAAGGGCGAGGGTGCTTCGGAAAATGTCAATATTGTGAACACTCTGTTAAATGTAGCCTAACCATGAGAAATGAAAATGCTATGTGAATGATCAGAGCACGGCTACGCTGACATGCGCCGCCCCATGGGGACTGCGGGCGCTGCGTGCCAGGCGGAAGGCTTTCCCATGGCAAGCTCTCCTCCCCAACACTCGGCATCCAGCGTCAACTCCTGTAAAGAATACATGCAGTTTGTTGATGAAGAGAGAAATGTGGAAGAACAGGGTTTGTCAATTAAAGGCAGTATCTTTCTTTCTTCCTAGATTCACACCTTAAGTTTCAACAACCGAAAACCAGCACACCAATGATTTTCTCAGACTGCTGAGGCTCCAAGGCCATTGTTCTCTGTAAGTCACAGCGCAGTTTCATCACTGCACTTCTGTTCCTGGGATTAGTGAGTATTACGACAGTCATCTAGAAGTGGAGTGTCAGGGCCACATTCCCAGGGATCTCAGCTATCCTTTTGAAGTTCGGGATTTATAGTGATCTTGTAAATGTACAAATAAACTCATAGAAAAAGAAAAATACTTTAGAAAGAGCACAATTTGTCAAGACATTCAGAAATAGCTTTGTGAAACTGTACTGTCTTCAACATAAGCATTAGTTGTAGGTATTCTGCAATTATGTAATTGGTCTATAAACAGACAGGTGCTGTTAGCTTAGAAATCACATACAGCAATTTATTTTGTTTATTTATTTATTTTTTTGAGACGGAGTTTCGCTTTTGTTACCCAGGATGGAGTGCAATGGCGCAATCTCGGCTCACCGCAACCTCCGCCTCCTGGGTTCAGGCAATTCTCCTGCCTCAGCCTCCTGAGTAGCTGGGATTACAGGCACGCACCACCATGCCCAGCTAATTTTTTGTATTTTTAGTAGAGACGGGGTTTCACCATGTTGACCAGGGTGGTCTCGATCTTTTGACCTCGTGATCCACCCGCCTCGGCCTCCCAAAGTGCTGGGATTACAGGCTTGAGCCACCGCGCCCGGCCACATACAGCAATTTATAATGGACGTTGCTTCTGAACGGTCTTTTTGCTTTCATTTGAGACAAAGTCTCACTCTGTTGCCCAGGCTGGAGTGCAGTGGCACGATCTTGGCTCACTGAAACCTCTGTCTCCAGGGTTCAAGTGATTCTCCTGCCTCAGCCTCCTAAGTAGCTGGGATTACAGACACGTACCACCATTCCCCGCTGGTCTCAAACTCCTGACCTCAGGTGATCCGCCCACCTCGGCCTCGGCCTCTCAAAGTGCTGGGATTACAGACAGGCATGAGCTACTGGGCCTGGCCTGAACGGTCTTGATGGTAGGTTTCTCTAGACAAATGGGAGAAAGGTAGAGAATAAGGGGCTGTCCTCAACCACACGGAGGGGCCGGGGCCCAGGTGAGCCCCAGAGGGGCTGGGACAGATCTGCCTGGTAGAGACAGACACTTGGTAGAGGAATGACCTTGCTTCCCATTCTGCTCAGGTGTGAGACTTTAGGCAAATCATCACATAGCTAACCAGCTTTATCATTTACTGAGCTTCAATTTTTCTCTTTGGCATAATGCCAAGGCATTTTCTTGCAAAACATGGGCTGATAATACTAGAAAATAATAAAAATTCTCTAAATTAAGCTTTTGCCAAAGTTCAAGGGAAATGGTAAGTGGAATATGGGATTGACTATGCTCCCAGGAAAAGTGTTAGCACAGTTGATCTCACATTCAACTTACCTGACAAAACAACACACACGCACTTTTCCTTCGATATCTTAGTGACTGCTTCTCTTTTCATGTAATTTATATCTTGGAATTGAGGGGATATACTAGACAGCACGTTAATTTTTCATTCACTCCAATATCGAAGGAAGGAACTTTTCTCCATGAATGCTGTGACGCGCTCATTTGCATTACTGAGAAACTATGTCGAAAGGCCCCGGGGAAGCCTGAGCTCTTACTTTCCTCCGAGAGGTCGTTCTCCTCGGCCTCTCTCTCCATCTCTTTGCACCAGCCTTCCATCCTCTTCGTCTCCGAGTGCAGGAGCTTCAAGAACCACGAGCCATCCCTGCGGCAGGGAGACATCCGCCCAGTCTCTACCGTGTCGAGGGCGGGCTCCAGCCAGGGATCCGGAGGGGGCAGGGTGGAGGTATCCACTTGGGTCCGATAGTCTTCTCGATAGCTGAAGAGCCCCTGCGTCCGTACAGTTCTCACCGCGCCATACTGGGTGGGGGTGCTGGGTTCAGAGTGCCGCTGGAAGGATGAGCCGAACTGGAGGCCTTTGTCCTCCATGGTGATATGGCCTGGGAACCCCTCCAGCTCCAGGTCTGCTTGGACGGCAGCCGTGACGCTGTTAGAACGTTTAAAACGTCCGTGTCTGCAAAAGGAGGGAAGGAAGACAGATGGTAGCCTTTCTGAGAGAACTTCCTGCAACAGAATCCCACATGTAGCTTATCGAGAACACTCCTGAAGGCAGCAGCCTAGCAGCTCAAGGACAGGTGAGTGCTTTGTCCATGAAATATGCTGGTGTTGCATCTAGGGAAGAACATTTGTTTTTGCACATAATTACACTTTAACGTCTACCTAAGTCTTAAGGCCTAAATAATGCCCCTTGGGATTTAAGTTTATTGAGTGACACAATGAGAGTTAGTGTGTTTCATGAAACCACTATGAGTAAATGGCTACCTCCCTTTCAGAAAGAAATATGCTACAAGCTTATGCAGCTGAGGTTGTGGGTTGCTGCTTTTGTGTGAACAACATCCACATCATACTGTGTTTTAGTGGCTTCCAAATTGTGTTTCAGGGCCCAAGCCACTTCTCTCCGGAAAAATTAATAGGTCCCCATTCACCCCTGTATGCAAAATAGTGACTCCAAATTCTGACTTTGGTGGGTGTTGATACACAGTGAACATGTTTTTCAGTGTCATCTATTTCCACATAGCTGATCACTGAAATAATTGGTAGGAAGGAGCTTATAATTGGAGACCAGTATGCTGAGTGAGAATGCTGTGTGCATGTGTGTGTGTGTGTGCACTCTGTGTGGGGTGTGTATATATGTGTATCTTTGTAGTGCCTGTGTCTTGTCGTGTGGTCTGTGGGTCTGTGCAGTGTGTAATGTGTATATGTGTGTGTGCGTGTGTCTGTGTCTATGTGTTTATGTGGGTGTCTCTCTGTGTGTGTCTCTACATCTCCAGATACTGCAGCGATCCCTGTGGCTCTGCAGGCTAAACCCCCGGGAGCACACAGCTGTGCGTGCAGCTGGTTAGTGACGTTGCCACGTGCTCCCTTTGCTACGGGGAGGGACACTGAGCCACAGATCAGGAGGAAGGTGGCTTGCCCGGCCCCCAGGTGCAGAGGGTGGCCAGGGTGTAGGAGGTCTACCTGGAAACTGGGGAAGCCGTTAGCTGGGGTTGGAATTTCTTTGCAATCAAAATCTCAATAGGGTAGGTGCTAAAATGCTCCCTGATGAGGGAGGTCACCCAGCACTGTCCCTACCAGATGCTAGCTGAGCCCTCACCATGTAATGTTCTCATCAAAATTTGTTTTTATGAAATAGGCAAGATATGCTATTTTAAATATGAACTGAAATGATCCTCCTGTCTTGTTAGAAAAATTACACGACTATAATGGACATCACTTTGTATTTTATGTTTTGAGGTAGTATTTTTAAAGTGAGGTAGTATTTTTAAATTGTTTCACTTTAATGTACTTTTCATGGTACATTAAGGTCTTGAATGTGCTTTGGTGTCCCTCTGTCATTTTGTGTTTCACGTGACAAGGCGTGAGGACTGCGTGGGCGTCACCCTCAGCCTGTCCTTCCTTCCTCTGGAACAAGGACTCTGACTTTCAGAGCTGTCAGCTGCTCTGCTTCCAGAGGTGGTAAATTACTTTGGAAAGAATTACTCCCTTGCCTCTTGCAAAAGCAAGACATAGGCGGATGTTAATTCATACTTGAACGATATCAATGGAAGAACATAAACATATGCCCTGTCTCCACTGTGGCATGCATGACTGAGGGCCATAGGCTCTAGAAGCTTCCATCAGGCATCTGACAAAGAGCTCTGGCTTGGGGGCCCTGCGTGTGAGGAGGGGCTGAGTTACCGCTTCTCGTCTTCCACTTGCACACCGACGGAGTGGTACTCCCGCAGGCCGCGGCTCTCTGTGTCGGAATCTGTGGCCGTTTCCACCTAATTCAACATAGAACATCTTATTTTAGAACTGAAACATGGGGCCTGGGCAAGGGACTATTTTGTTGTTGTTGATGATTTGCTGTAATTAATTATGCATTTGTTTAATTACTGCAGAGATGCACTTGACCCAGTAAAACCGCAGAGAGGGAAATGCATTCACATTGGTGTAATTAAATCGCTGCTGCGTTTCATCACATTTTACAGAACTACCTGAACTCAAGGCTGCACTTTGGTCTTTTAAATGTATGCAAATAAAACTGCTTAGTTCAGCTCAGGCAAAAAATAGGTTTTGTTGAACTGTATTATTACAGGACTTAAAAGCTCTTATCACACCCTACAGTGAAGAAAGGAAGTACAGCATGAACCAAACATAGCTAACGACAACAAAGAAGCGATTTAATAGAATTATACTGGTGGCTGCATCCACATACAAAAAGACACAGAAAGGAATTTAAGCATTTATCAGAAACATCAAGGCAAACTCTCCGCCTTCATCTCCATAGAGCTGTCTCACATCTGCCAAGCGGACGGCCAGCAGGGTGATGTCAGATCAGAACAGAAATCATGTACTCCACAGTACAATTAATTCTTATTGTGGCCAAAAAGTCCTCACAAACCCACAAAGCATTTTAACGATCATCACCTATGTAAGGTTATCCCACAAGGGAATTCTACTGCAGTACATTTTCAAAACAAAACAAAACAAAACCAAAAAACCCCCAGTCTCAGTAGGAAAACTCTGTGAAACCAAAGGTTAGTTAACCCATTAATATTGTTCCAGGCACTGAGTCATTCCTCTGTCCAGAAAGATATTACCTATTAAGAGGACTTTTGACCCCTCTCTGAAATGTCACAGCTAAGTTATATTGCTTTTCTTGAAAATTATTACTGATCACTACAAGGAAAAGGTGCATTAAACAAATAATGATGACCCTGTCCTCTGAGTCGGAGAGGAGCCACACTTTAAAATTTGAGCCACAGTTTGTGACTGTTCTGAGGGTAAGCCTGTGTCAACAAGGACTGGCTCTGATTTGCTGCTGAGAGATCATGATGATAACAGCCAATATTTCTTTGTTGTGTACCCTGCCCCAGGCACCATGCCGAGGTTAGAGCCTTATCACGCATAATCCACACAACAACCCTGCGGATGTTTCCAGCCCTAGGAGAGAGTCGGGGGATCACAGGAGGGGTGACCTGCTCAGGGGCGCCCAGCTGGTTGGAGACTGAGCTAGGGCCCTTGCCCAGATCTCTCTGACCATGAAGCCACGTGCAGCATGGAAGAAACAGCACGAGAAAACCCTGGAGCGCTTGGCTGGCCACAGAGCCAGGGCACTGACCAGAAACCACACTTTCACTGGTGTAATTCTGAAGACAGGTGCAGAAGCTGTCCCTAAACTGTGATGCACGTTCTGACAGGTGGGTAAGACGGGCTCTGGGAGGAAGAACATCCTTGAGTGAAGACCCTGGCCTTCCTGTTAGGATTTACCATATTCCCGTCTCTAGTTTTAAGTGGGTCACGACTTTATTAAACCTTACCTTGCATGGCACGAAGATCATTAGTGTTACTTTACACAAAAGGATTGTAATACAATTAATAGATTTAAAATTCCATGTCTGTACATAAGGAGCAGCCTTGTGTTTTAACTACAAAGGATTCCATTTTATGAATACAGCCTAGTGCATTTTGTGAGCCTTCAGTAGAGGGGAAATGTGGTCGTTTCTAGTTTCTGCCATTATAAATGATGCTGCTATAAATACACATCTGTACTCGTATGTATGTAAAAACTCCTGTGAATATTTCACCTGATAGGTGGTCTGGGTCAGAGGCATCGCACTTTTTGGTAGAAACTGTCAAATCTGATATGAGTGAAATAAATTCAAAGGAATACTTTTAAAGAGATTTTACAAAAGAGCACTCGTATTTATCATAAAAATGTGGAGAATATTTGTGTCACTTACTCCATTTCTAGGAATCCAGCCTAGACAAAGAATCGTAAATTCTGACCAGTGTGTGAGGTGTTCATTGCAGCATTATTTATAAGGTGGCACCTAAGGAGAATGAGGGTGAGACAGTGGGACAGGAATGAGCAGGAAGTCATGGTTTACTCGTGACAGAGTGGCTCATGCCTGTAATCCCAACACTTTGGGAGGCTGTGGTAGGAGGATCGCTTGAGCCCAGGAGTTTAAGACCAGCCTGGGCAACATGGCAAGACCCTGTCTCTTAAAAAACAGTAGCTGAGTGGTGGTGCCTGTGGGAACAGCTACTCGGGAGGCTGAGGCAGGAGGATCGCTGGAGCCTAGGATATTGAGGCTGCAGTTGGCTGTGAGTATACCACTGCACTCCATCCTGAGCAATAGAGTGAGACCCTGTCTCTAAAAAATAGAAAGACGGTTATAAAGGCAATAACCCCCAAAATGCATATAATACAGACTTTAAAACACAGACTAACAGGTGCCATGAACAACAGAATTACCAGGTGCATGCACGCATGTAGCAACACACTCATACTGATAGGTATGTACGTGTACCATGGAAAGGATGAAAAACACAAAAAAGTAACAAAAGGAGCTTTTCCTTCCTCTGTCTCCAAATTTTCTCTAATATATATTTTTATGGTGAATTAGAAAAATACAGCTTTTGTAGCTGGTCAGATTCTGCTGCTTGCTAGCCATGCAACTCTTAGGAAAGTCTCTTAAATTTTGTTGAATTTCTGCTTCCTTATCTCAAAAAAAGAGGGAAACACCCAATGCCTGTGTGAACTGATGGAAAACTCTCAGCATGAGGCCTGATTCAGGTAGGTTTGTTCACAGCAAATGCTAATTCCCTGTTCTCTCATCTCAGCGTTGAGGACTGTCAGGTGAATGGTGTGTGTATGACATTAAGGGCACTTGCCTATGAGGAACTCTGCAGACTTTATAATGGCTGTCTTGTGAACTCTTTCTAAGGTGAACTCTGAGGAGGACATGGTAAAATCACACTTGGCCAGCAGGAGCTAAGTATGTATCCATTTCAGAAATCCTGGGCAGACGGAGGCTTCATGTGAGACGGAGAAGCAAATCTGGGACAAAGAAGGGACTATTTTCTGCAGTGGAAAGGAAATTCTGGCTAGAAGCGTAAGTGGGTTTGCAAAGTTCTGAGGCCAGGCATGCTGGCTCTCATGTATCATCCCAGGGCTCTGGGAGGCAGACGGGGAGGATCAGGAGAGCCCAGGAGTCTGAGGCTGCCGTGAGCTGTGACTGCACCACTGCACTCCAGTCTGGGCAACACAGCAAGACCTCATCTCTTATAAAAAGTTTTGAAAAATATAGGCATGCAAGGAACGTATGAATGAGCAAAATCACTGTCCCACTCCCATGGAGTCACAGGTTAGCTGTGGCATCAAGGCCAGCCAGCCGCCTCTGAGCCCAGCTTCTGTAGGGATGCTGAGAAAATGCATGTGGGTGGGGCTGGCGGCAGGAACCGTTCACCAGTAATACTGGGCCAGAGTGCCAATCTGCAATCTTTGCTCTCCCAACAAGCTCATTTCCTGCCCTTCCTTCAAAACCTCACACAGGACACGGTGGGTACCCTGGATTTTATACAAACTCCCTCTCCCTCGGAGACGTGCTGTGCCTCCAAGAGTCAGGGGTGAGTCGCCAGCCCTGCTGCCTGTGAGGCTCTGAGCTCCAGGGCCGCTGTGAGGAAGGGCAGCTGACTGAGCCTGGAGAATCAGGCAGGCACTTTTGTCTCTGGCAGGACATTCAGAATGGACAGCCACAGAGGCTTTTCCAGGCTGCTCCTGCCTTCTCACAACCTGGTGAGAGAGATCACAGAGTAGAAACTCATCTCATTGGCTGGGCGTGGTGGCTCATGCCTGTAATCCCAGCACTTTGGGAGGCCAACACAGGTGGATCACCAGAGGTCAGGAGTTCGAGACCAGCCTGGCCAGCATGGTGAAACCCCATCTTTACTAACAATATAAAAATCAGCCAGGTGTGGTGACGCGCGTCTGTAATCCCAGCTACTCAGGAGGCTGAGGCAGGAGAATGGCTTGAACCTGGGAGGCGGAAAATGCATTGAGCCGAGATCGCACCACTGCACTGCAGCCTGGCCAACAAGAGCAAAACTCCGTCTCAAAAAGAAAACCAAACAATTGATCTCATTTATAAAGATGGGGCTGACAAGGCACCAGGGATGGAAGGATCCTAAATGTCAGACTAGGCCTCTGTCCCACCTAACTGCAGTATCTGGGAGCTGTAAGCATGTCCTACAGAGTTCCCCAAACAAACACAAACATGCACACAAAAGAGAATGGAAAACTCAGCAGGAGAGACAAACCGCAAAGAGAACACACAAATGGTCCCATTGTAACCAAGAAAAGCGACGTCAGGCCAGACCGAGAATTCTGGGTCAGAGGACCTCTCCGAGGCAGCTCAGCTGTGCCCACAAGCTCTCCTCCTTATCCTAGGACTGGCCTTTGAGTGCCAAGGCAGGGGCCCATTCTGTCCTACGGGCAACTGGCCTGCAAATCTGGAGCTCTGACGTGGCCTGTGTGTGTGTCCTGCTGTAAGGGCCACACTCATGTGGCCGTGTCCAGTCACCTGAGGAACAGGGGACTTGCAGCTAGGCAGGGAGGGAGGATGGGGGCCATAGGAGATGTGAGCTGAGGACCCTCACTCACTGGGGATCACGTTAGACACAGCCCAGTAATTATCATGAGAATCCTGAATTCAAACCCTGATTGTAAAGGGTCACGTGCTGCCCAATGCACTGGGGAGCTGCCTGGTGGGACAGCGCCACCGCTCCCCCGCTGGAGTTCTCCCTCTGTGTGCTGTGGAGTCACAGAGGGTGTGAGCGCCACATGAGGTATGTTCAGTGGCATAGATGCTGTTCACTTGTAGGAGTGACATTTGCAGAACACAGATTCTCCTGCTATCTGCACTCTGACAAAACTGCCCCCAAAGGTCCCTGGAGCTGTGGCTCTGGGAAGCCAGTCCCATTAAATGCTGCTGTAACACACATTAGCCAGCTTTGCCTGTGAGCTGGGGAGCAGCATGATGTCTGCCCCATATCCCAGGACAGGAAAAGAACCAGGGCAGGCTCCTGAGGGTATGCAATCATTTTGGGATTTTCTTCTCTGAGAAGTAGAGCGGAGGGGTGGAGTGGAGCCTGGCTTCGCTTGTGGCCTTGGCTGGGCACCGTTAGGCAAGTCACTGACCCTCCCTGAGCCTCAGTTTTCCCATCCAAAGGCTGGGCACAATAACAACCAGCACACAGGGTTATTGTGAGGATTAAATGGCGCCTGTCTCAGCCTGTCACCTACCCTGACAAGCTGGCATCTGCAGCTGCTCTCCCGAGGCCTCCCAGGCACCTACGGGAATCCACCTTTCATCCACTTCATTACTCACTTCCTTCTTTTCCTCCTCCTATACTCCTGGACTTGCTTCACTTCTTTCTTCGGCTGTTTTCCTTATCCTGACACTTGAGCTGCTCCAAGTACATTTGCCCTGTGGCTTTTCAATTCACCTCCTTTGCTTAACTGAGTTCACCAGCTCACAGGATGCACAGAAAACACACAGGACTGTGCATTTGTTTTTCTTACTGCCATGAAAGGTGACTTCGTCATCCACCTGCATTCCTGCCTGTGCATCCATCCTCACCAGCACGCACCCAGCGGCCCATCCGTCCACTCACTTTCCCGACATTTACCGAGCACTCCCTATGTGCCAGGCACAGTGCTGGGTGCAGGGTGGCAAGAGGCTGGGAGCAAGGTCCCCCCTCACAGGACACATGTGGGGGGCTGGGGTCCAGAGTCCCTCCCATAGGACACAGTGTGGGGCATGGGGGTCCAGAGAGGCCTCTGGGTAGCGGTGAAGGCACGGGCTGAGCTTTGCAGGGGAAGCGGGGGGATGAGAAGAAGCCTGCACTCAGCAGACGTGGCTGTACGAGGGATGGGAGCTGGGAGCAGAAGAGGGCTGACCACGGAGGGGTGTGGGGTCCTGGCTGTGGGTGGGGCAGGAGACAGTGGCAATGTGCCCAGTGTGCTGACCTGAGATTCCAAAATCATGTCCCACTCCTTTCAGATCAAGTCAGTACTGCAGGTGCTCAGAAGTGGGCACTGCCTCAGTCTTGGCTGAGTGGATGTGGGAGTTGGCCGGGGAGAAAAGAGAGAGAGGGCGGGAGTGGCTGGCCAATTTGGGGACCTCTCCAGTCTCTACTGCAGACGTGACCCCGGAGATGGAGATGGATGAGGGCACGCTGGCTTTCCCGCTTACGGGCGCCAGAGCCCAGCTAGGCCCAGGGCTGCGGGCAGGTTATGGACCCTGATGAGCCCCTCATCCTCATCTAAGAGGGGACAGGTGGGTGCACCCAGCATAGTGCCTGGCATATAGAATCAGGACAGAGAGAGGCGACAAGAGCAGTCGCATGAACATCCAAAAAAGGGAGAGAAAATAAAACTCATGCGGACGCGGCTTTGGAGCACATTTTGGTACTTACATCTGACCTTGGGTATGGCTGGTGCTCTGGGAATTCAGAATCCTAAACAAAACAATGAAGCCACAGTGTGGAGACCTGGTTCAGAGGCCCTGGGCCAGCGGGCGGCTTCCCCGCGTTCTCCGCCCGCATGCCTGGCTGCCAGGGCCTCACGGCCCGGCTCTCACACACGCTCCACTCACCCTCCTCCCTGGGCCGCCCCAGCGGCATCCAGAATCTGTTAAAGCTCCGAGGAACGCACACGGAACGCAGGGGTGAAAGGAAGCAGGAGGAGGGCCATGCCGGCAGTGGGCTTGGTGACCAGCCCCTCTCAACCCCACCTGCCAGATCCCGGAGGGACGCACCACTTGACCCAGACCACGGGACGCTCTCCTGGCCCCCCAGGGTACGCAGTGCCATACCTAACACAGACTTGCAGAGGGAGGTAGACGGGTGGGAGCTGGCCAGAGCCGGCCAGAGCTCTCCATTCACGGGGAAAAGAACCACCTGCCACATCGGTATTATGGATAGATATTTGGGGGCCTGGATGGACAGTGGATCGTCTGTCTGTGGTCTGAAACCACGGACGCGGCATCTGTGACCGCAGCTGAGGGGCCGGCCCGCGCCTGTGAGCACCTCCTGGTTCCGTACCGAGAACAGCCTGCATTTCCCTTTACCTTTTCATTCCCAACACCTTCTGGTTCCCCCATGCAACTCTTTGGCCACAATACTGAAAGCTTTTGAAAAATCAGGCTTCAGCAGAAACCCTCCCATTTTAAACATCAAAATAATGTCATCTCCATACTCTCTAGGCAGCCTCTGACCCTTGGAAAATACACGGCCAGGAGTGTGTTTTCAGGGTGGCAGGGGATGGGGAGCTGGAGCCCCCGGGTTTCGTTCAGCTCTGCACTGGGGTCCGAGTCGCCTCGGGTGTCTCCCGCCTACTGGCTGCACTGGCGGGTCCGCAATGCGAACGCACAGCCTCGCTCTCAGGTTCTGTGGCCCTGCTGAGGGTTGCGGTCACTGCTAAGGAGGACCCAGGGCCGCTGGCCGGGTTTGTGCTTATTCTATGCCACCTGCAGGACTGACTGGAGCCAGGCCCCGAGAGCGGTTACCTGAATCCCGATGGAGGAGCAGCGGCTCTTGAGGAGCTCTTCTGCCTTGGACACAAGGATGGCTTTGTCACTGGTCCGGGTGGAGCCGCTCTGCCCGTCAGCCATGTGGCGCTGGGCTGCGGCCGTCTCCAGGGCGAGGTTCATGGCCTTGTTGCTGTCCAGGCTGTCCGTGGAGTTGTAGAGGCTGCGGCCATCCTGGGGCCAGGGGGACATCCTCTGGGCGCGGCTGTCCTGGTAGGCATCCTGGGTGGATTCGGTGCTGCTCTGCGCCGTCACGGAGATCAGAGGCTTGGAGGTGGTCCGAGGGGGCACTGGCGGGGGCGTTTTCTTGTAATTTGTATACGAGACAGCTGTAAGAAAAGGAAGTCCCAAGTCAACAAGCGTGTTCTCCCCCCTCAGTACCTGGGTGACCGTTTCCCCATGCCCACCCCTGTTATTGAAAGAGCAAGTCATTCCTGGACGTTTACCCCAAGAAAATAGCGTGAAACATGGGGAAATGAGACGGCATATGGGAATATCCTTGTAAAGCTGCAGGATTATAAAAACACCAACGAACTCAGCAGCAGAGATGCAGCTAAGCAGAGTGTGTCCCTGCAGGACAGTGCGCAGGCATGGAGCCATTCCTACGCAGGTCACGTCATTGAGGAAGGTGCTCGTGCTGTCACGCTTAGTTAAAATGCAGGCAGGATGCTAAACTATGCATGGGTCAAGGTGGAATCTGTTAGTGCAGGAGACCTGTGTGAGGAAAGATCAAAGCACTTGAAGATGTTGATGGAGGCTGCTGAGTGGCAGGATGGGCCCTGTGTGCTCTCGGGCTTGTGTGTTTTTCTAAAAATCACTATAATGAACAGCTACTGTTTTTTAACCGAGAAAATATATAATAGCAGAAACTTACTTGCTTCCCTGCAGGTACAGCTGCCATAGCTTTAAGTTGTAGGACGTGCACTGAAAAGGGGCTGGCTCTATGAATCTGAGCCGGGCCAGGCCACACTCACCTGTGGCTATCACCAGCCAGTCTCCTCCCGAGCCGCATTGCACGGGCGTTCTGTACCATTGGCTGTGCAGCCAGACAGGCCACCTAAGCAAAATCAATGCACCTGGAGATGAAGGCCATATTAAATATGCCTTGGAAGCTACCAGTAATGCATGTGATACCTTGGCCCGGACTCAGGGTATGACATATTTATAGACAGGATGAACTCCCCAACATTCTCCCTCACCAGAACCAGTTGTCCATTAGAGTCAATCATTTTCCTCTATTGTGCAGGAAGAGCTGATGAAAGTGCTTCATGAAGGGAGGCCTGCGCCTTCACCACCCCCCACCACGCACACAGTGGGAGGCACTGCCAGGTGTCTCCTGGAGGGGTCCGAGCGCCGTCTGAGGACAGACCGAGCAGCAGTTTTCCACAAGGACTTCCAGACACCGTGCCTGAGAGCGGAAATACATCCTTTCTGTGTCTGTTCCCGTGGGCTGCAGGGCACTTGGCGCTCCTCACCCCCTCCAGTTATTTATTATTTTAATTGCGTTTTAGGTTTTGGGGTACATGTGAAGAACATGCAAGACTGTTGCATAGGTGCACACATGGCAGTGTGATTTGCTGCCTTCCTCCTCACCTGTATCTGGCATTTCTCCACATGCCATCTCTCCTAACTCCCCGCCCCCCGCTGTCCCTTCCCTCCAGTTATTTTTAACCTGTGTGAGTGGAGCTTCTGCATCCTCTCCAACCTCTTATCTTATCCCAAGAAAACAGGGACAAACGACAAAATGAGCTTGCCATTCAGGATGACCTGCACTTTAAGGCATAACGTTACATATTAAAATTTTAAAATTTACAAAGCGGATTTTTTTTTTTTTTTGGAGACGGCGTTTCACTCTTGTTGCCCAGGCTGGAGTGCAGTGGAAGGATCTCGGCTCACTGTAGCCTCCACCTCCCGGGTTCAAGTGATTCTTGTGCCTTAGCCTCCCATGTAGCTGGGATTACAGGCAACTGCCAGCCCATCTGGCTAATTTTTGTATTTTCAGTAGAGATGGGGTTTCACCATGTTGGCCAGGCTGCTCATGAACTCCTTACCATAGGTATCTACCTGCCTCAGCCTCCCAAAGTGCTGGGATTACAGGTGTGAGCCACTGAGCTGGCACAAAGTCGGCACATTTTTAAAAAGCATGCATTGGAAAGAGAATCTGAAGGCTGGAAAACTGGGGAAGGGTGATCAGATGTTATTAAAGCAGTCCGTTGCTGAGCTGCTCCTTCACCAGAGAAACATCCAAAATCCTCTCCTCCTCTTCTTTTTTGTTCCTTTCTCCCCCTAATGTCAATCAATCCCTTAAGGAAAATTATTGAAAACGGACAATATTCAAGGCACTATTTTAGGGGATTCAGAAAGTCCCCAAGACTGCTCCATCCAAAATGCCACCAGTGCCAGGGAGAGACCAGAGTTAGGAAATCATTTTCTTTCTGGGTAGGGTGGATCTGGTTACCATGCGTTCACCTCACCATGGCAGGGGTGAGGTCCATTTAAACACTGCTTCTCGTGCTGCCTCTCCTGACAGAGCTTCGTAACATTGATTTATCAAGGGCATTAAGTGTGACACAGACAAATGAATAGAGAGACGCTGGGTGGAGGTGTGAAGCGGCCTCATCGATAAAGGGGTTCCCATGTGACAGTCCTGGAGAGTAGGTCGCTGTTTTCACGTTAACCCATTTGTCATGGTTCATTTACAGAAAACAGTGTCTTTCTCATTAATGACACATCTCCAGATTCTACGGCTCTAGCAGAAGGCAGGCCCAGTGTCCACTGCACGCCAGGGCGAGACTGCAGACGGGTCTTGGTGACCTCTCCAGGGGCGAAGCTGGCTTTGCTTTGGTTCCCTTAAGCAGAAATATTGATTCTGAAGAGGTTTCGAGTCCCAGCAATAGGGGGAGTAACAATTAAAAGCAAGAGAGACGTTGGAACACAGGTTAAAATGTGACATCTGCCTTAGTATCATTATATTTTTCTTTGCCAAGTTTGAGATGAGTGGAAAGGTGATAATAAACCCGCCTAAGTGGTTGGATTTTCCCAGCTAGGTTCACCTCAGCCATGAACGATGGCACATACGCAAGCGTCATAACTATGTCACTGCACATCACAGACCAACGCAACAGGAAGGAAAGTAGTTAGTGACCTTTCCGGAACATTTAAGCAAATGCACGCAAATTCATCCCCACTGTGGCTCATTATATGTTTAACAGTTCCTCTCAAAGGTCTCCAGTCACCATTGTTCAAAATCATAGACCTCACCAAATATATTTTAATCGAAAGAGTCTGAAAAATTTCACAAAACTAAACCTTCCCTCTTATATGGAATATCTTGTAAATTAAAAAATGTATGGGGCAGGTTATAACTCATCTCCATGATCACAGGAAAATCACGTTTTCTCACTTTATCATATGTATGCTACAGGCCAATGAAATGATTTTTTTAAACTTATCTCTGTAAAAATGTAGTTGTACGCCATACTTTTAAAACAAATTAAGAAGGAGCAGTTTACCTCCAGCTTATAAAAAGAATTGACTATACTCCACCTGGGAGGGCACACAGTGCTTTTTCCTGGACGACAAAAGAAAGAGGTCATGCTGTTTCCAAATTTGTGTGCATATGCCTGGCAGGCTGTTCTCAGAAGCACTAAAATGAAAACACGGCTCGAAGCAGTTAGCTGTGCTGCAGTGCTGCAGAGATGATCACTGACTGACTTTCATAAAAGTTACACTTAGAACTTTTCTAAAAGAGTCTTGTTTTTCACTGTATCAGCAAGCCTCCAATGTCAAAGTCATTATTTAGGTTGCTGTATTCTCTGAATCAACATTTTAGGATGTAAATCCAAGTATTTTATTGCTTAAAACAACTGCTTACTGGTGTTGAATCTACAACACATCATCCATTTCACTGTGATACACCACACTGATGTTTTAGGAAGACGTGCAGTTCGACCTGAGTGTCCATATGCTTGCTGTTACAATACGGGTTTTCCAGAGACCGCACGTAACCAGGCTGCAGAGCCCTTGGCCTTCTTCAACATCGGGCACTGACGTAAGCACCTGGCAAGCTTCACTGTGGATATATATTGTGAGATTCACTGCTTTCAGGAAGCATTTAGCTAGAGCCTAAGAGCCTGGCCCCAGTGTGCTCCATACTCACACTGAAAAGGTGGGCCTGAGAACCAAGCACGCAGCGTCAGAGACTAGCGATGTCCAGAGAGAGACTCCAGCTGAAGGAAGCCTCCTGGGGGCAAACCTGGCCTGACCTGAGAGGGATGGAGCTGCTCCCAGGAAGCGGGAGTGGGAAGAGCCAGTGGACATGGCTTGTCCCAGACATATCAATGCTGCCACGGAAAGGGCTGGCAGACACAGCCTGTGTCAAAGATGCACCAATGCCACCACGGGAAAGGCCAGAGGACAAGGCCTGTGTCACAGATGCACCAATGCCACCACGGAAGGGCCAGTGGACACGGCCTGTGTCATAGACGCACCAATGCCACCACAGAAAGGGCTAATGGACATGGCTGTGTCACAGACGCACCAATGCCACCATGGGAAAGGCCAGAGGACCTGGCCTGTGTCACAGATGTACCAATGCCACCACGGGAAAGGCCAGAGGACCTGGCCTGTGTCACAGACGTACCAATGCCACCACGGGAAAGGCCAGAGGACATGGCCTGTATCACAGATGCACCAGTGCCACCATGGGAAAGGCCAGAGGACATGGCCTGTATCATAGATGCACCAGTGCCACCATGGGAAAGGCCAGAGGACATGGCCTGTATCATAGATGCACCAATGCCACCATAGAAAGGGCCATGGACATGGCTTGTGTCACAGATGCACCAATGCCACCACAGGAAAGGACCAGTGGACGTGGCCTGTGTCATAGATGCACCAATGCGGCCATGGGAAGGGCCAGAGGACACGGCCTGTGTCATAGATGCACTGATGCCACCACATAAAGGGCCAGAGGACACGGCATGTGTCATAGATGCACTGATGCCACCACGGAAAGGACCAGTGGACATGGCCTGTGTCATAGACGCACCAATGTGGCCACGGGAAGGGCCAGAGGACATGGCCTGTGGTGTCATAGACGCACTGATGCCACCACAGGAAGGGCCAGAGGACATGGGCAAAATAACCAGCTAACATCATAATGACAGGATCAAATTCATGCATAACAATATTAACCTTAAATGTAAATAGGCTAAATGCCCCAATAAAAAGACACAGACTGGCATAAATGACAGAGTGAAGACTCATTGGTGTGCTGTATTCAGCAGACCCATCAGACATGCAAAGACACATATAAGCTCAAAATAAA